AATAGTTAATTATGAAAGTTATGAAAATAATAATTTAAATTCTATAATTCCAACATTTCAAAATTTGAAGTCTTTAACATTAGTTGATTATTCCTCAGATGTCAAATTAATGCAATTAAAATCAGTTCTATTTCCAAATATTGAATATTTTTATTTGTATAATTATGGTCCATTTCTTTTAGACCTGTCAGAATTTATAAAAATCAATGGTAAAACTCTTAAATCTTTGGTAATTTATGGTACACCAATTGATGAAGAATATTTAGGAAAGCTTAATCAATCAATTGGACAAAATTGTAAAAATTTAGAACATTTAGAAATGCTTTACAAAAATGAACTAGATCAAGAACTAATTCCTATAATTAGTAAATGTACCAAATTAAAAAGTCTAAAGTTAGATGATATTAATAGAGATGCAATAGATGGTGATAAAGTGTTGGCAATTTTAAATCAGATATTACCAAAAAATTTGAATACTTTAACTACTTATACTGAAATCTTTTTTTCTGATAGTTCATTAAGAACTCTAGAGAGTAATTGGAAAGGACCCAAACCTTTTACAATAAAATTACGTAGGTATGTAAAAAGAGAAAATTTAGAAAGTTTATTAAAAAAATATCAAGTTATAGGATTTTTAAATTATCATTTCATCTAAATGAATTGTTTATATTCATTTTATATGTATAACATGGTGTTTTTTTTATCAAATAATAATATTACAAAAAAAATTTTTTATTAGCTAATAAATGTTTATTATTATTACACTTAATGGAATAATAACAATAATATTAATTAAGATTTGAGAAAATATATTTAATACAAACTATTTTATATGTGGGCCAATTTTTGTCAGCTATTTTTAAAGTGTTTCAAAATGATGTTTTCTTTGGAAATTGTTCAAAAAATGGTTATTGCGGCCTTTTTTGAAGAAAAAACCCAAGCTTAGACTTAATTTTGGTAATGGATGATCAATTTTTTTATTGGTTTGAGTATCACTACCCAATTTCTTTCTTCTTCCTTGACCCATAATGGTTGTAGAGATGATTTGCCTTGTATTTTGACTTCTTTATTAATTGGTCTTGACCAGATTTACCAACTTGATTAGCATTGCAATTCAGCACTAACTATTACTGCCTTTTCCTCTCTACCTTTAGTATATATGTATATATATATATATTGTATTATTTATTTTAAATAAATAAATAATAAAATTATTTATTGTGTAGATATTCATAATTCTTCTTACAATAATTGATAAAAAAAATTGAATTCACTACATCTTTATTACCAAAAAATCAATTTCTATAGAAAAATTTGAATGAATTGTGTTAAAATCGATTAATATCAGACAGACAAGTTATTGAATTCATTCATAATAATAAATTTTAAATGTTACCTTTATATATATATATTATATTTATATAAAAACAAAAAAACTTACTAAGTAAACTGCTCTGAGAAAAACATTTGATGACTTATTATGTTTTATAGTTGTACGAACTGTTTATTGCAATTAAATTTGTGTAGCACATAAATGTAAAAAAAAAAAAAAAATGCTTATAACAACTTTACCACAGGAAATTTTCATTGAAATATTTAAATACATTGAAGATGATAACAAAACATTATATTCTTGTGTTCTTGTCAATAAAAAATGGCATAATATCAATATTCCAACTTTATGGAGAAACCCATTTATTTCTAAAAACAGCATCAAAATATTAATTAATTGCTTACTAGAAGAAGACAAAAATTTCTTGGTGGAAAATAATATTGTATTAAAAGATTTTGAATTATTGGAAAAACCACCATTATACAATTATGCTAAGTTTACAACTGAATTAGATTTTTATGAAATAAATGAATGGTTAGAAGATTTATGTGATATTTTTAGTTTAAAATATTTAAAAACAAAATTGGAAGAATTTATTTTAGATCATTCAAATATCAGGCAGCTTACAATATTAGATAGTGAAGAATTGTTGGATCATCATAGATTTGATACTTGTTTTCAAAACCTTTATGAATTACATTCCAGTATTCACTTTAGTTCTGAATTTATTGATAAATTAGCAACTACTTGTAAAAATATTCAAGTTTTAAATATAGATTGCTATTTCGATCCTGATTATCCTGTTACTGGATTTTTTAGTTTAACTGAATTAATTAAATTAATTAAAGCACAAAATCAAATTAAACAATTATATATTAAATCAGAAGATGAATTAATTTTACCAGATGATTTAAAAAATGCAATCTTAATTCATTCAAAATCAATAGTTAATTATGAAAGTTATGGAAATAATAATTTAAAATTCTATAATTCCAACATTTCAAAATTTGAAGTTTTTAACATTATTTGATTACTCCTCAGATGTCAAATTAATGCAATTAAAATCTGTTCTATTACCAAATATTGAATATTTTTATTTGTGTAATTATGGTCCATTTCTTTTGGACCTGTCAGAATTTATAAAAATCAATGGTGAAACTCTTAAATCTTTGATAATTCAAGGTACACC